CGCTGGCCCTGATCTAGCCCCAAGGCAGGGACTGGCTGGCTCAGGGGTGTGTGGAATGGGGTGCGGGGCCTTTTTTCCCCCCCGCATGCTAGATGGGGCCTGCACCCCCTGGAGGGGCATCTGCGCTCAGCATCGGGGGACCTCCAGCAGGAAACTCTCTGCCCCCCTAAATTTGGGGAAGCCTGGCTGGAGACCCCCACCCCATCTTCGTGACTTGTTCTCCCTGCCCTGGCATCCCTTGGCCAGCTCGGGGGGGGGGGGCGGATGTGGGGTCGCCTGTCTGGCAGCCCCTGGAGTTAGGGGGCTGGGATGTTGGGGGGCCTTTCCCCACCCCCCTCATCAGGTAGCTCCCCACCCTGTTGGGACGGCAGGGTGCAGGGGTGTGTGGCTGGAACATGGGGTGCAGTCCCCCAATTCTGGGAGCAGGGCATCAGCGCTAGGACAGTTTGGGGGCACCTGGGGGGGGGGGGGGGGGGGGGGGTGTCTGTGCCACCTGCTGTCTGTCAATAAACCTCTCGACATTCCTCAGGCTGCGTCCTTGGGGGGGCGGCGCCCGGGCTCAGCTGTCGCCGCGCGTCACTGTCGGGGGAGGCCATGGCCGGGAGCGGGGGCCGCCTGCCCCTCGCCCTGCTGGTCACCGTGGCCGGCTGGGCCCTGGCCCTGGCCCGGGGCCTGGTGTTTCTGAGCAGCGAGCGCTGCGCCTGGCTCCTGGGCGCCCCCTGCCTGCGGCGGGCGTATCACGCCTGGCTGGCAGGCGCCGTCCTGCTGGGGCCCCTGCTGCACCCCTTCGCCGACCCCCACGCCATCCTCGCCAACCAGCGCAACTTCTTCAGCCGGTGAGCGGGGGGGGCAGAGCCCCATGGGGGGGAAGATGGGGGGCAGGGGGTCACGGTCGGGGCTGTCAGGATGGGGGGGAGGGAGGTCCAGGGCTGGGGGGGCAGGGAGTCCGTGGGGTGGGGTGGGGCCGTGGGGGGGACAAGGAGACCTAGGACGTGTAGGGCTGTGGGGGACCGGACAGGGAGGCCCAGGGCTGGTGTGGGGCTGGGGGGACCAGGCAGGGGCTGGTGTGGGGCCACCGGGCAGGGAGGCCCGGGGCTGGCGTGGGGGCCAGGCAGGGGGCCCAGGACACCCCCTAACGTGCCCCCTCTCCCCACAGCACGTTCGTGGCCTCGGCCTGGGGCTGGACCTGCATCCTGGCGGGCGGCTTTGCCCTGCTGGTGAGCTACGGGGCGACAGGCCGGGCGCTGGCCCCCCTGCGCCCGCTGGCCCGGCTGGCCGTGGGCACGGGGCTGCAGCTGGCGGCAGCCGCCGCCTTCGGGCTCGTGGAGGAGCTGACAGGCTACTGCTACGCCCCACTGCCGGCCGGCACCCTGCTGCCCCCCCTGCCCGACCGGCCGGGCTGCCTGGCCGCTGGGCACCGCTGGCGCGGCTACCTGCCCTCCCGGCCCGCCTTCCTGCTCACCTTCTGCTGCCTGCTGCTGGCCGAGGAGCTGGCCGTCTTCCGGCGCTACCTGGCCCGCGGGCACCCGGCCGGCGCCCCCCTGCGCCTCGTCTTCCTGCTCAACGTGCTGCTGCTGGGCCTGTGGAACCTCCTGCTGCTGGGCACCGCCGTGTACGGCCCGGCCTACGGGCCCCAGCTGGTGGGGGCCGCCGTGGCCACCCTAGCCTGGTACCTCACTTACCAGGGCTGGTACCGCGCCCGCTGGTCCCCCGGCCGCCCGGGGGCTGGCCTCTTCCTCAAGGGCGAGCCGCGTGCCTGAGGGACCCAGGCATCCGGGAGAAGCACAGCCCCCCTGCCCCCAGCCTGGAGAGGGACTGTCTCCACCGCCAGCTGGGGGCGCTAGGGGGGTGAATGGAGGGGAGGCAGGAGCGATGGGGAGCTGGCTGCTGAAGGAACCCAGGTGTCCTGGCAAGTGGGGGGGGAGCAGACCCAGGAGGCCACGGGAGGGGACCCAAGTGTCCGGGAGAGGATCCCTCCCCCCACCCTTGAAAGGGGCTGAACCCCCCTCCGGGGGGAAATGGGGTTGGGGGGGGGGACAGGCGTCCGGGAGTTGGAGGGTGTTGGGGTGGGAGGGGAACCCAGGTGTCCGAGGAGGAATGGAGGCCCCCCCCCAACCCCTTCCTTGTGGGGGCAGGAAGACTGGGGGAGTTAATTCAGGGATGGGGCCCCAGGCATCTGTTGGGGAGGGGGGACGGGGGGAAATCCCAGCATGGAGCGAATGACAACAGGGGGACCTAGGCGTCCGGGGCACAAATAAAACATGGCCACCTGCCCTCAGTGGGGAAAAGCCTGTCGCTGTGGTTTATTGGGGTTGCTGGGGCAGGGTGACCTGGGGGGGAAGGGGTGACACGCCTCATGGGAATGATGGGGGAAGAGGACCCTGGTATCTGGGGGATTAGCTGAGGGTGGGGGCACTGCTGGAGGGAAGGTCGCAGCACTGGAGTCCTCCCTCCCCCCAGCTGCGGGCACTGCTCTGAGCTCACAGCCCAGCAACCCCACCCCCATAGCTGGGGGCACGGCGCGGGGGAAGCTCGCAGCCCAGACACCCAGCCCCTGGGGGCACTGCGGGGGGGGGGGAAGCTCGCAGCCCGGACCCACACAACCTGCCCACTGGGGGAGAAGCTCTTGCAGCCTGGACCCCCCTTCCTCTACTGGGGGCACTGCTGGGAGAAGCTCACAGCCCAGACATCCCTCCCCCGCTGGGGGCACTGCGGGGGGAAGCTCACAGCCTGGACCCATACACCCTGCCCCCTGGGGGCACTGCTGTGAGAAGCTCAGAGCCTGGACATCCCTCCCCCGCCGGAGGCACTACGGGGGGAAGTTCGCAACCCGGACCAGCCCCGCCCCCCCGGGGGCACTGCTGGGGGAAGCTCGCAGCCCGGAGATCCCGCCCCAACTGGGGACACTGTTGTGGGAAGCTCGCAGCTCGGACCCGCCCCCCCCCCGGGCCGGGACTTCCCCCGCGACTCCGTCAGTTTCGTTTTCACTTTTCAACTCGCACCATCATCCCCCCCCGCCACGCGCCTCGGGCCCCCCAGCTCCGTCACGCACCCCCCAGCGACCCCCCCATGGCTGCGCTGCGGATCAGCCCCCAGGCCGAGGCCCAGGTGAGGGGGGGGGGGAACCTGGCTGGGGAAATGTGGGGCGGGGGGGAGCAGATTTATGTGGGGCCTGGTTGGGGGGGGGGGGTTGGAGGACACGGAGGGGGAGTGGGGCCGAGGGGTGCAGGAAAGGGAGGGCTGGAGGGTTCGGGGAGCCGGAAGGGGGAAGCTTGGCTGGGGGGCAGGGAGGGGGTGTTGGGCTGGGGGGCTCGGGTTAAGGGGGTGCTGAGCTGGGGGTTAGGGGGAGCTGAGCTGGGGGGCTCGGGGGAGCAGGGAGGTGGAGCTGGGCTGGGGGGGCTCGGGGGAAGGGAGGGGGTGCTGGATTGGGGGGAGAGGGGGAGCTGGGCTGGAGGGTTCGTGGGACGGGGGTGCTGGGCTGGGGGGTTCGTGGGAAGGGGGGAGCTGGCCTGGGGGGCTCAGGGGACGGGAGGGGGTGCTGGATTGCGTGTTTGCCTGGGGAATTCGGGATGCAGCTGGGGGTAGATGAGGGGGTCTGTGCCTCTCCCCAAGCCCAGGCCCTGCCCATCACCCTGAGGGGGCAGCACGGTGACCCCAGTGGGGAGTTTCCATGGGGCAGTCGGTTCCCAGGCCGGGCGGGAAGGGCCCCTCCACGCCCCATCACCAGCGCAGATGGGGCAGGGCCGGGCAGGTGGCTGGGGGGATCGGGTGTCAGGGGCTGGCGGGGTGCCTGGGGCGGGGGGCTGGCAGAGAGCCCAGGCTTGCTGGGGGCTGGCAGAGAGCCTGGGCGGGGGGACGCGGAGGGAGCGTTCCGCTGGGACATTTGACCCCCCCGAAATTTCTTTCCCCTCCCCAGGTGGATTCCTTCCGGACCCAGCTCTGTGCCCAGGTGAGACGCTGCAAGCTTCCCCCCAGCAGTGCCCCCAGCCAGGGGGAGGAGGGGACCCAGGGCTGTGAGCTTCCCCCCAGCAGTGCCCCCCCATACTGACCTTCTTCCCCCTCCCCCCAGGCTGAAGCGCTGGTTGGGACCCGGTTCCCCAGTAAGATAACTCAGCTGGATGCTTTCCTCAAGGTATTTGGGGGGCAGGGAGGGGGGCTGGTTGGGGGGCAGGGGATGGGGCGGGAGGGGGATGTGGGTTTGCCTGGGACACGGGATGGGGGGATTTAAGGGGATCGTCAAGGGGCAGGGAGGGACATTAGAGGGTTTTGAGGGGCAGAGGGTGGGAGGCAGATTTGGGGACGGGGCAAGAGGGTTTGGGGGAATGTGGGGGCTGGAAGGGGATTGGGGTGCTGGGTGGGGGAATTATGGGGGCTGGAACAGGGTTGGTGGCTCGGGGGACGGGTGGGGGCATCATGGGGGGTGGGGAAGGTGGGGGGCCAGGAGAGGGGGGTTGGGGCAAGGGTGAAAGGTCACTCTGGGGGGCCCAGCTACTCACCACCCCTCCCCATCCCCCCAGGACCCGGCGCTGAACGTGGGGGACTTTGAGTCCCTGCGGGCTCCGCTCGACATCCCCATCCCTGACCCTGCCAAGGAGAAGGCAAAAGCCGAGCGCCGCAAGGTGAGCTGGGGGGACCCCAACATCGGGGGGAGCCCAACACGCCCCCCCAGCGTGACAGCTGAGACTGGGGGGGAGTTGCGTCATGAGGTCCCACAAACCCACAGGTCAGATCTGGGGCTCTCTCCCTCCCTGCACCCCCATTTTCTCATTCTGTTCTTTTGGGGGGTTCACCGGATGGGGGGGTTCTACAGTTCCATCACCCCTCAAGGGAGGAGGGTGATTGGGGGGGGGCCTGGGACTTCTGCCCTACACCCCCATTTTCTCCTGTCTTCTCCTCCGGGGCAGAAGGAAGAAAAGAAGGAAGAGAAGAAAGACGAGAAGAAGTCGGAGGAGGAGGATAAAGGTGAGTGGGGGGCCAGATCTGGGGGGGGCCTCCATTGATGGGGGTTGGGCCCCTGCCCCCCACTGCTTCTGGGGGTCTGTGGGTCCGACCCCCCCCATTTGTCTGTCTTTCCCCAGCGCCCCCCTGTGGCCCCGTGAGCAGCAACGAGACGGTTGTGGGGCTGGTGAGCCGAGTGAAAGCCGAGATCCAGGGCGCCAAGGAGGAGCTGGGGCTGGTGAGTGTGAGACAGAGCCACAATACGACCCCGGCCTGGCCACCGTGCAACACGCACCCTGCACAACGCTCGTCCCCCGTGCGCACAACACGGCCCTGGCCAGGCCACCGTGCAACACGCACCCTGCACGATGCTCGTCCCCCGTGCACACAACACGACCGTGGCCTGGCCACTGTGCAACACGCACCCTGCACGACGCTTGTCCCCCGTGCGCACAACACGGCCCCGGCCAGGCCACCGTGCAGCACACACTCTGCACGACGCTCGTCCCCCATGCACACAACACGACCCTGGACACTGCCACCGTGAAACACACCCCCTGCAGGATGCTCACGCCCCGTGCACACAACGCAAGAGGATGCACCACTCGCCTAGGTAACACACCCAGCAGGTTCCATCCCCTCCAACGGGGCAGAAGGACACACACTCATGGTCTCTCTCGTCCCCAGGTCTCTGTCTGGGTTCAACTCCAGGTGCCCCGTATCGAAGACGGCAACAATTTTGGGGTCGCAGTCCAGGTGAGTGTCCCCCCTTCTCCAAACTGCCCCCCACTTCCCCCCCCCCCCAGCTCATTAACCCCCCTCTCCCCCTCCCCAGGAGAAGGTGTTTGAGCTGATGACGGCCTTGCGGACGAAGCTGGAAGGATTTCAGACCCAGATCTCCAAGTGAGTCCCAAGTTTGGGGGGACCCCTTCCACCCCCAAATCCAAGCCACAGACCCCTCCTACCCCTGTCCCATCAACTTGGTTAAAAGCAAAACAAAGAATCAACCAACCACCCACAAGAACCAAGAAAATTCATGGGCAAAACCTGCTGTTAAATGCAGGGGGGAAAAGAGCTTGAAAAATCCAAAGGAGTTAAATGCCAAAAACCGTTAAAAGGAAAAATTGGATTTTTTTTCACAAAAGCAAGGAATCGAAATGGCAACAAACTTCATTCAATGCAACCTTTTAAGCTCACAAAAATCCCCAAGGAAATTAAATCCCAAACGCTGCGCCCAGTGCCGAGACATTTATTAAAAAAAAAACAAGGAAATTAAATTGCCTCCTATTTAAAGCAATCTTCATATTTTGCATTTAGCAACCATTTGTGCATTACACTGATTTTGACTTCACAACCTTGATATTTGATATTTTAAGAAGTTTTGCATTACAATTTTTCCTCTCCTTTGCAGCCTTCATATTTTGTAATTTAAAAAGGAAGTTAAAATGCACAGTGTCGGTAGATGCAAAAAACATTAAATGCAAAATGTGAAGGATGCAAAGGGGAAGGTTACTGTAAAAAAAAAAAATTGTTCAATGCAAACGTAAAGATTGGAAAAATATTGTGTGTTAATTTCCTCGTTATTGGAAATTAAAATTCTTGCACTTTTAAAAAATGTAAAAAACATTACATGCAAAATCTTTAAGCCACAATCCTATGAACACTTATACATGTGCTTAACTTTACTCCTGGGTGTTAGTATCACGGGTAATAGGCCTAAAATTAAGCCCAGGTATATGTGTTTGTGGAATTAGCAACTGAATTTGCAATTTAAAAAAGCTGTGAAGAGGAAATGCAAAAATTGTTAAATGCAAAATTATCCTGCCCCCCCCCCAAAGGAAATTAAATGCAATAAAACTTAGTTTCCACATAACATTTAAGCTTGAAAACTAGCAAAAAAAAGTTAGTTTCCAGAATGCAAAAAATTTTTGTCAAATGCAAAACATTTTAGTTTGCCAAAAATAAAGCAATGAATGCAAATATCAAAACGTTGTGCAAAGCAGCGAAGGGGAAATTTCCCAGTGCAAAATGGTACTGGTTGCATGGAGGATTAGAATGCAAAACCAAATATAAAATGCAAAAAAAAACCCTGCTTGCCAAAAGAGAGGAACATTTAACGCCAATGAATTGTGTTAAATGCAAAATACTAAAGGTTGCAAAATCAATTTAAATGCAAAATATCTTACCCATCAAATTTTTAATCTAAAAAAACCCTCAGGGAATCTTAAATGTGGAAAATAATTGATGCAAAATTAATGACGGTTGTAAAAAGAGAGCAAATGAATAACAATTAATTGCATTGAGCGCAACATATTAAAATTGCAAAAATTTGAAAATGGCATTTCATTGTCTTCGAAATGTGCTTTGCGACCTTTAGTATGTGTTTGAATTTTAAAACACTCCTTTCTGTTTGCAAGCCAAAGTCCCAGCCGGTTTGATTTGGTCATTGCAAGCGTCGTGGTTTTGCACGTGCAGTTCTGTGTTATAAATCCAATTTGAGGTCAGTACAAGGAGCCATAATACTTTGCAGGGACCAATCTCTGTGCACATTGAAATTCCTTGGTCGTTGGTGTTCCCTCAAGATTAAAAATTTGGCATTTCCGATTTTATTTTCAATCTTGCAAAACCAAAGCCTCCCCCGCAGGAAACGTAACAAACCTAATACTGCTCAATGCCAAATAAATGAACGCGGCCAAGAGGGTTTGAATGCAAATCCAACTTCGTTACCTGCAGATCGGTTCCTGGTTCGGGGGGGCGCGTTACATTTTCTGAAATTTTGTTAAGTTAGGAGGGTGGAAAACAAGGAAATTCTCAGTGCCCCAAAACTTCATGACGGTCACACAGTGGAGAGATTGGGCTACCCTTGTAGGGGGAGCCGCCTGCAAGGCCCCCCTCCCCCCCCGCCCCCGCAATGAGAGCCCCCAGCTCATCCTTCCTCACCCCCAATTTGGGGCTTCAGCTCTGACTTCTGATTCCCCCGCCACACACAGGTATTTTTCCGAGAGAGGCGACGCAGTGGCTAAAGCGGCCAAAAATCCTCACGTGGTGAGTGTCTGGGATGGGTGCAGCCGCCCGGACGCCAGGGTTCCCTGCTGCGCGGGAGAGGGGGTGCCCGGACGCCAGGGTTCTCCGCTGCGTGGGAGGGGGGGCGCCCGGATGCCAGGGTTCCCCACTGCACAGGAGGGGGCTGCCCGGACGCCTGGGTTCCCCAGCAGGGGCTCTGGGACACCAGGGATGGTGGGGGAGACACTGGGCCCCTCATTTCCCTGGTTCTGCCCCCCGCAGGGTGATTACCGGCAGCTGGTGCACGAATTGGACGAGGCGCAATACGCTGAGATCCGGCTGATGGTGATGGAAATCCGGAACCTCTACGTGAGTGGGGGGGGGCTGGAGAGAATCAGAGGGTTGGGCCAGGTGGATTGAGGGGAATAGCTGGGAGAGTGCAGTGAACGGGGAGGGGGGGCAGCTTCTCTTCTGTGTTGTAACCCCGTCCCCCTATTTCTCCCCTGAACCCCCATTCCACTCTCAGGCTGCCCCAGCCTCAGCCATCTGGGAAGGGAGAGACAGCCGACTTGGGGGGCTTTTCTGGGGGGGAGCGGGTTTGGGGGTGGGGGGTGAAGGCCAACATTAAATGGACCCCAGAAGACCTGGATCCCCCAGGGTAGGACTTGTGGGGGACAGAGGTGAACCCCTAATTTAGCCTCACCCCTAGAAGCCGGCAGCACCCCAATCCTAGACCAACTCCCCCATCTCCTCCCACCTCCAGGCCATTCTCTACGACATTGTGGTCAAGAACTTCGAGAAGATCAAGAAGCCACGGGGCGAAACCAAAGGCATGATCTACTGAGTGACCTTTCACCTCCGGCCTCCACCAATCACAGGGCGAGTTGGGAAGAGAGGCAAAGGCGGGATTCCTGTCTCGCCGCCTGCTGCTGATCAGAAAAATAGAGCTTTAGGGGTTTCGCGGCCGGTTTTGATTTAAAAAAAAAAAGAAAGAAAGAAAAGGCAACAAAATGCCAAAAATTTGCAAAATGGAAAATGTTCGAGGTTGTTGGGAAATTAAGGAAATGAAACTTTGTTTGCCAGAAAAGGAAACTGAACGGCCCCAAACAAACCTGTGAAATCATTTTAAAGATGCAAAAAAAATTAAGGACTTAAAAAAAAAAATGAAAGGACAAGATCTGATGGCGACAAAGTCTCTGCCCCCAAGTCTGCGTGAAATGGCAAAAATTCAACCTGGCCCCAATGAAGAAAAGCCGTAAACGAGCATGATTCAGTACGACGAGCGTCATGAAATGGAACCCACGAACGTCAGAACAAATCCCAGGACTAGAAATCCAAACCACGCCCTTACAGGGAAGATTTTGCCCCCACAAATTTAGGTTTTTGGCATTTTAATTCCTTATTTTGTCCTTTTCGCAACTAGTTTTGCCTTATGTTCCTTAGCGGTTTAAGGAGTTGCAATAAAATAAAATGAACGAATTGAAAGCAAATGGCCCCAAATTCTGTTGGGTCCGAGGTCGGTGGTGACATTTCCTTGGGGTTTTTACGGTCATATTTTGCATGTCAGGAGGTTTGGGGCATTGAATGGCCTTCAGTTTTTTGCCGTCCGACACTCATCGCTTAGGGGGAGGAGGATGCTGGGAAAACGACAGAACAATCAGGTGCCGAAAAGGAAAAATAAAAATAATCCAAAGGAAATTAAAGGCCAAAATAAAAAACTTTGTGAAATCTGCAAAAACGTAGCCAAAAAAGGGACCTAAATTTAGCATTTGGGGGCTGATGTGAGGCCAAGGGGGAGGAGTCTGGGCTCATTGGGGGAGGGGAATGGGTGGAATAAATATAAAGGAATCAGTGAAAGTCATCTGAGTCTTTACTCGGGCCAGCCAATGGGGGCGTGCCATTGTTCCAAGCAGTCCAATCAGAATACAGCCCCGGTTTCCCCAGGCCAGCCAATAGGGTCCCTCAGGCGCTGCCATTGGCGACAGACACCAGCCGGGCGATCTCAGTGTTGAGGTGCTGATTGGTCCAGTCCCGTCTGATGTCATCAAGGTGGGCGTCAAAGTCGATCAATTGGGTGTGAGCTTTAGCCTCCAGCAGGGACTTGCAAATGTGGCGGGAGGATTCCCAGTCACGCCACATGACTCTGAAAGAGACAGGAGGGAGCGAGGTAAATCCCGGATGCCTGGTCCCATCCCCGGTCACCCTGAGGGCTGGGAGCGGGGGGGGAGGGGGGGTGCCGTCCCAGACGCCTGGGTCCCATCCCTGGTCACCCTGAGGGCTGGGAGCATGGGGGGTGACGTCCCGGATGCCTGAGTCCCATCCTCGGTCACCCTGAGGGCTGGGCCGCGTGGGGGCACCATCCCAGACTCCTGGGTCCCATTCCCTGGGACTGGGTAGCATGGGGGGCCCATGGCAGGTTTTGGGGGAACCCCACTCACAGGTTCTTGTCCTTGGGGAGCCAGTGCCGATCCTGCTGCTCCAGCACAACGACGGGGGGCACGCGGGGGTTCTGGGTCAGTTTCCGGTTATCCAGCTGGGGGGAAGGAGAAGGGGGGCAGTTGGGGGACATGCTGGGGAGACCCCCCCCCCAACCAAATGTCAATCACAGCCCCCCACCCTCCGTAGGCACCCCCATGGGGTCCCTGATCACAGCCCCACACACACACCCTGCCCCCAGGGGGCCCACTCCAGCCCCCCCAAACCCCAGATCTCACCATGATCAATACAGCACCCTCAGAGAGCTCAGCCAGGCGTCCAGCCATCTTCAGAGCCAGGGGGGTGGGGCTACATGGGGGGGGCAGGAGAGATGTCAGGGGGGAATGGGGACCCCCTCCCTGCCCCCCCAGGGACCCCTAAAGTTACCTCATGTCGTCCAGCCCGGCATTGGCCTGGTAGTACCCAGCCACCAGCAGGTTAGAGCGAGACGCCCACAGATCAACCTGGGGAGAGGGGAGAGGTCGAAAGGGGAGCGTGCCCCATAAAGAGCCCCCCTGCCACCTGGTGCCCCCCACTGCCCCCACCCCACACAGAGCCCCCCCTGCCCTCCCAACACCCCCTGCCACCTGGCGCCCCCAGCCCCCCCCCCCCCTAGGGAGCCCCCCTGCCCAGCCCCAACCACCCCCTGCCCCACGGTGCCCCCTGCTGCCCACCTGGTTCAGAGCCACCTCCAGCATGACGCTGAGCGCCAAGTTGCTGTGGAAAAGGGGGACGCAGTCGGTGAGGAACAGACAGTCGGGGGGGCCCCCCCGGCGCCCCAGGAGCAGCCCATTGACGGCGGCGTGGGGGTGCCGGGCGGCGTGGAGGCACATCTTAGCATAGGCCTGGGCGGAGACCTCCACCTCGCCCATCCTGCCAGGCAGCAAAGGGTTAACACAGCCGGTGCCCCTCACTCCCGACCCGCAGCCCTGGGCTCTCACCTTCCCCCTGCACTGAGCCCCCCCAGGATATTGTTTGTCAGGGTACCCCTGGCAGCCCCCCTCGCCCTCTGATTGGCTGACTACAGACCAATCGCGTCTCGAGTGTGCGCTTTGCTTCTCTGGGTCCTGATTGGCCAGTGCTCCCTCCCCACAAGGGCATGGGGCCGCTGCGCTCTTCACCGATTGGCTGAGTGCCGCCCCCATCCCGAACGTGCCCTCCCCGGTCCTCCAGAGCCATAGAGGCGTCGCCTAGAGCGGCCCCAGGAGCCGCAGAACCCGGAAAAGACATATCCCTGCCCCATGGGGCGGGGCTACGGGGCGTTACCCACCATGCCCTGGGGCACATGATAAAACGCGGGGGCGGGGCACAATTGCCTAGGCTCAAGGGGGGGATGACAGGGCACTACCCATGATGCCCTGGGGCACAGATGCTAATCTAAGTCCTATGGTGCTTTACCCACAATGCCCCGGGGGCAGGGTCCTGTTCCCCACAATGCCCCAGGGCCGGGAGCCAGGTGCCGAAGGGCCCGTTCCCACAATGCCCCGGGGGCCGAGGGGCCCGTTCCCACAATGCCCCGGGGGCCGAGGGGCCCATTCCCCACAATGCCCCGGGGGGCAGACGCTGAGGGGTGTGTTCCCACAATGCCTCGGGGGCCAGACACCAACACAGGAGACAAGTTCTGGGGGAACCGTTTATTTGCAGTCTGGTTCCGGCCCCTCCCCTGCTGGGGGGCAGGGCTCAGGGGGGCAGGCGCCCTGGGCCCCTCAGTACATGGATGGCTTCTCCTCGCCTTTGGGGTTTGTCAGCTTCTCCAGGTTCTGGGTGAGGATGTGATAGAGTTCGGCCTGGGGGGAGACAAAAAAAAGGAGCTTGAGGGGGGCAGAGAAACCCCCACAGAGAGATTCCCCCCTGAACTGAACCCCTCCCATCGGAGCCCCCCCAGCCCTCACTGAGATCCCTCCAGAACCACACTCCCTGGGGTCCCCTCCCTATTCCCTGCTCCCCCCCAGCCCTCACTGAGACCCCCACAGAACCACACCCCCTGGGGTCCCCTCCCCATTCCCTTCCCCCCAGCCCTCACTGAGACCCCCACAGAACCCCCCTCCCCCCAGGGTCCTCTCCCCATTCCCTGATCCCCCCAACCCTCAGAGACTCCCACAGAACCACACCCCACGGGGTCCCCTCCCTGTTCACTCCTCCCTCCAGCCCTCACTGAGACACCCACAGAACCACACCCCATGGGGTCCCCTCCCCATTCCCTGCCCCGCCCAGCCCTCACTGAGACCCCCACAGAACCACACCCCACGGGGTCCCATCCCCATTCCCAGCCCCCCATACTCACGTAGAAGCCCCGAATGTCCAGCACCATGGTCCGGATCTCCCCATAGATCACCTCGTCCCGCTCATGGACCAGAGTCCGGTAATCCATCTGGGGGCAGGGGACACCGGTTAGCCTGGCTGGGGGCACTGCTGTGGGGAAGCTCACAGCCCCAGAGCCTTCCAACCCCCCCCAGCTCAGGGCACTGCTGTGGGGAAGCTCGCAGCCCCAGAGCCCCCCCAACCCCCTGGCTCAGGGCACTGCTGTGGGGAAGCTCGCAGCCCTGGAGCCCCCCAACCCCCTGGCTCAGGGCACTGATGTGGGGAAGCTCGCAGCCCCCAATCACTTACCACGTGGGTCTCCTTCGAAGCCTTCGCCACGGCATCTCCTCGCTCAGAGAAATATCTGGGGGTGGAGAGAGAGTGAGAGCAGGCCCAGACCATTACCCATAGTGCCCTGGGGCACAGACGCCCATGGGGAGAGCATTACCCACAGTGCCCTGGGGCTGGGGCACCAATGTACAGCATTACTCAGGATTCCAAGAGGCATGAAAGCCAATGTAAGCAATTACCCACCATGCCCTGGGGCAGAGACATGGTTGGGGGGGCATGACCCACAATGCCCCGGGACAGACATGGTGACCCACAATGCCCTGGGGCAGAGATGGGGGATGGCGAAACTCACTTGGAAATGGCTGTCTGGAAGCCCTCGACCTTGGTCTTGATGGCCGTCACCCGCTCCAGCACCTTCTCCTGGAGGAGGGGGGAGATGGGGGTGAGATTGGGTGCCTGTAGAGGGGGGACTGGCTGAGGGGGGACTGAGGGGGCCCTTACCTGAATGGCCACCCCAAAATCATTCCCGTCCTCAATTCTGGGGATCAGGTGATGGATCCAGGTGATGACCTGGAGACAGAGAGACAGTGAGAGGGGGCCAGGGCACTGCTAGGGGGAAGCTCGCAGCCCTGGGGGCACTGCTAGGGGGAAGCTCGCAGCCCTAGCATCCCCCACCCGTTGGGGGCACCATTGCAGGGAAGCTCGCAGCCCTGGGGGCACTGCTGTGGGGAAGCTCGCAGCACCGGCGCAGAGGAGGGTTCGGTGGGGCTCACCAAAACACATTTCTCCTTCAGCTCCCGCACCTCCGGCTTGACCCGGCCCAGCAGCGTCACCATGGCCTCGTTGCCCTTCAGGTAGCCACATTTGGGAGCTGGGGGGGGAAGAAACGGGAGGACAACAGGGGGTGAGTCCACAGCCCAACCCAGCCCCCCCAAAAATCCTGCCCCCCCAAAACTGCCCCAAAACTCACTCTCCTTTTTCTCCTCCTTATCCGTCTCCATGTTAGTCGAGTCCTGGAGGGGGGAAGGGGACAGGAAACGGGTCAGCGCCTCGCCAGCAGGGGGTGGCGTAACACGGGGGGAGGGAGGTTACCCCAA